GCAACTGTAACTAGGCTAACTATTCTAGCTGGAGTTATCTAGAACCAAAATGAATGGAAAGATATTTCGGTTGTCAGTGTTAACCTCAACAAACTAAGATGTTGGAACGTCATGCACTGAGAAGATAAAACCTTGCGAAGAAGCCCAAGAGTTATCACCATCCACTGCTGCACCAGTTAGCTCTAGTTATAGCATTAGCTGGTTAGCTCATCTGAAGGGGCAGCCTCAGTTACTCAGCCTTACACCAACACCAGATCAAAAACGTGATGAAGAGATTTCCCTCAGTTATTTTAAATAGTAAAATATCTCTGAATGTCGGTGTGTTGTATGCGGGTGGTGCTGCTAATTGAGTAAAACATTTTTCTTCTAATTTACAATCAGATTAATCAAAAATATGCATGAACAAAAGCCCATCAATGCATCCAGTCAGACTGTCCTCAGCCCAACACTAAAAGGACACGTCTGTGGACCTCATAAAAGCTGCGGTCTTCAAACAGGTGCCGTGTCAGTCTTGCTAAGGGCTTACTAACGGCAACCCTGTAAATCAAGGCCACGGACCCCCAGCCCAGCCCGCATTGAACCTGTGGCCTTCTAGTCGGCCGGTCTGCTTGACCTGTTGAGCAGCGCATTAGTTGCTAAAGTGCTTCGTATTGAAAACAAAGGATTGGCTGCGTCTCTGCGACTGGACGCTGACGCCACTGACTTTGATCCAGCAGTCGCGTTTGAAGAAAGCCCCCCCGCTGAACAGTGACGGCAGATGAAAGTGCTGCTTAGATCACAGCAGTTCTCTCCTTCACTTTCCCCTCAACTACAGGACAAACAAAGAGGCCGTTTGTTTACTGTAATACAGTTTATTTATTTATTTACATTTTTTATGTATTAAAATAAGACGCTTTACTACAGCCACTCTTCCGTCACATTTACTTTGATCTGATACATATTTATGATACTGTTCGTTCGTTTGTTTGTTTGTTCATTCATTCATTCATTCATGCATTATTAATTTATTTGTTGGTTAAAATAAGGCACATTACTACAGTCCCTGTTCAGTTGCATTTATTTTATTATGCCTTTTGTTTATTTATTTATTTATTTATTGCATTATTTAAAAATGCCAGCTGCCTTTTACACTGTGTAAATTTCACGATGAACGGAATAGAAATGCTCCAGAATTACTTGGACTAAATTGCTCTTTAACTTTCATTAAAAGTTAGGAAGGTGTTTGGAGATGGGAGATTTTGTAATAGTGACTATTTATTTATTTGTTTGTTTGTTTGTTTATGATCACTGGTCCATCACAGAAGCTTCCAAACCACCTGATGGGCAAGATTGTTTTGTTTGTTTGTTTGTTTTTATGAACGATTCTGTAAGGTAATTTGTAAAATTCTTTTATTTATCTGTTTAGAATTTACTTTCTATTTTTGCTTGTTTTAATCCTTCAGGTGATCTTGAATTTTTTTTGTAAAGCCCTTTTTGTATTGCATATTACTTTGCAAAGCGCTTAAAAGCTACATCAATATTATTATTATTATTATTATTATTATTATTAAATGTAAATCTTACTGTATTGTACGTGTAGCGGTAAAGAAAATGTCTTTTGAAGGCTGTTTCATGTGAAAGGGCTGGTCTTCACAGAGAGGGTTTCAGGGTTTATTCATACAGACTTTGTTCTCAGCCCTGTTTATAAGGGAATAAGGAAGGTTTTGAATGACTCTGTTTATCGCTTTCAGCTCTGTCCCCTTTTCCTCTGAGACTCGCTCTTGCTGATGTGTGTGTAGTGTCAGTCTTGGTGTCGGCTCTCACTGAAACAGAGCTCATACCTTGGTGTTTTTTTTTCCCTGGTGCACTGATAAATAAGCATTATCTCCAGATGTAAGAGGTGGGATGAGGTTGAGCCCAGAGGGAGCAGGAGAAAAGATTGCCAGCTGGAATTTTACGACAACTCTTTATTCGTAAAAGATTTGTTTCTGTCACTTTTGTTTGAAGTCGTTTTCAAGATCATTTTATGGTTTCAGGCTGTAAGTGCCACTGCAGTAATTACTCAACAGGGTTGATTAGATGTCAGTGATGTTGATTTTTGGGGAAAAACAAAAGTGCTCTATAATGTTCACATGATCCACACAGTCATTCTGACTGAATGTAATACACCACAGGAAGTGTAGGGGGCGATATGGCTTCTATTGTTTCATTTAAAAAGCGCTCTATAATGTTCATATGATCCACACAGTCATTCTGACAGACAGTAATACACTACAGAAATCCTAGGGGGTGATGTGGCTTTTGTTGTTTTATTTAAAAAGTGCCCTATAATAATTATGTTCATATGCACAGTCGTTCTGACAGATTGTAATACGCTACAGAAAGTGTAGGGGGCGATATGACTATCTACGCTAGCCATTGCTAACTCTAGCTTTATTCCCTAGCTTTCATTAGCTGCTGGCACACATTCACAGCATGTCAGCGATTTCTGTAACATTATAAAAGGAAAGCACAACTTTTATAGGTTCATTTGATAGACTTCATGCAAGCTATCTTGTGGCTAATGGTAGGCTAGCAGGCTACAGGCTACCAATAGCAGTTTAAGGAAAACCAGCCTTATGTGAGTAGCACACATCAGCTAGCTGGCTAGCTGCGTTAGCGACCTTCCACACAGCATCATTCTTTTAGTTTCCTTACAATTTTTGATGCAGTACTTCTCATAACATCCACGATTCACTGCTCATTCAACAACATGACTCCTGGCTTGTATCTTAGCATCATGATCATGTTGTGACATTTTGATTTCCCACAGTTCTTTGTTGGTAAGGGAGAACCGTGGGGTCTCTGACATAATGTGCCAGCTAACGTTAGCTGTTCATTCTAAGCTGATGTAGGAGAAATTACATTATTTCTTTATAGCCTGTAGCATTAGCTTTTTGTGACACAGAAAGCTGCTTTAAGTTAACCGGATAACAGTTTGGGGTAATCGCCACTATTAGCAGTGGCTTCTAGCTAGCTTAGCTATATCTGACGACATCAACGCAGCAGTCGTGTTACATAATAACCTTTGTAGATGGAATTTCGGGAGGTAGTGCTTGAGGTAGTGGCTTGGAAAACCCTGCTATGAAGAACATTAGCGCTCAAAATATTTCTTCGGTTGTTATCGTACTCCCCTCATAGCAAGAGGATAGTGGCCCACTGTTGGCCCACTGATGGCAAATCTGGCGGTCCACTGGCATTTTGATTAGTGTTTTCCTGGCGGCCCACCGGTGGTTAAGCAGAATATTAGACAAAATTCCACTAATTTTTCTCTCACAGTTTTTACTTTTTTTTACTTTACTTATTTTTACTTCTTACCTTTCATTAGTTATACTTTATGAAAATTAGTTCAGTAAAACATTTTAATGTAGCACAGTGGGCCTTTTTCCTCTCAGTTGTTTGTAATATTTGTCTTAGTTCATATTTTAGAATAAAAGTGTCTGCGTTTAAAATATGTTGTAAGATAATCTTTTATAATAGATAATAAGTAATCTGGGTGGTCCGACGATGGACCAGCAGTGGCAAACAGTCAGTAGGGTTCCACGTTACCAAGCCAGCGGACTGATATATGCCTGCTATCTGGATCATTTTGATCTGGGGCTCTCAAAAACCCAATATAAACAATATTACCAGAAACAAGAGAGTCCAAGGAGTGCATTGGTAATTTTACAGGAGAAGGAAAAAACATTCTTAACTTTTAATGGATAACAATGTATCGGACAGCTGGCATTTTCAAATTCTTAAAAAAAAATGTTCATAATGACAAAAATGTGTTAATTTGGTCCTCTTGAAGTTACACAGTTTGTTGGTGCTTAAACGTTTCTGCCTTTGATAAGGTTTGTTGATGAACTAGGCCTTGCTTCAGATTGAACTGTTGAGTTTTTTTTTTTTTTGCATCTGTTGCATCCTGACACCTCTGATAAGGTTCCTGAAGGTTCTTTCAGTCATTCATCAGAGTCGGGCTGTTCTTCTCGCCTGCTTGCCAGCGTGCATAGATTGCCTGGTTCTTCATTCCCTGTTTAACTCGATCAGTGCCCTTCTCAAGATTATAACAAATGACAGCAACAAAATTACAGTCATCCATCTCCGAGCAGGCATCAGGCAAGTGTCTTTCATACGCACCCACAAAAGAACAGAAACAGACACGAGAGAATAGAGAAACTGAGACAGAAATGTTTGAAGATCTGAGGACAGTGGAAAACTCTCACGTTACTTTTGCTAGTTTTTCAAAGAAACGGGGCTCATGTGTAACTCTTGTCCAGTTTGTGTGGTTTGTTGGTGCAACTCTGAGGTTTTTCTGCTTAATTCCTCCCACACATGTAGTTCAGCTCGTGCTCGAGCTTGATGGGAGTCTCCACCTCGACACCTGTTGATGTGGGACTCTTTAACCTGGAGCAGGTTAGCGGGAGGACCTGCAGGTGCACCGTGGGTTTCTGTGACAAACACAGTGGGACGAGCCAGCGCCAAAGGCAGCTGCCGCCATGGTGGAGGAAATTAGCTGTAATTGCAGAGCTCTTCAGCCTCCCGCTCGCTCCGATTCAGAGTTCATTGTTTTATTGCCATGAAAGCCCGTGGATGTGGCGGGAAAGACTGCTTTATGTTGAGAATGATGACTGACTCGTAGCCTTCAAAAATTGGACCCACCCACTCTAATTATAATTTGCCATTTTTTTGTTCGAAAGAAGAGGCCCGCCCACCCACTTGTTGGTCCATAGCTGCTGGTGCTGTCACGTAGGTGTATTGTGCTGTCTTAAAACAAAAAAACTTTGTCATCTCATATTCATGTGATCAGCAGCATTTCCACAAGTTTATCGCTTCATTTTACGTTCAGTTTACGTACACTTTGACCAGAGAAAAGACACTACGCTTCATTTTACACAGATACTTTGAAAGATTTTATATCAACAAAGAACGATGAACATCATCTGAGAATGCTTTGACAGCCGTAACTCTTATGTACTTGCATGTTTTTTGTTTTACAGACTGAAATTATCAAAGGTCCGAACGGTAGTGTGGGAATGACGTTCCGGCACGTTCCGGCCACTGAAGGTGACGTGGTGCATGTAAGCATCGAGACGGTTACCCCCAACTCCCCCGCTGCCCAGGCTGACCTGCAGAAGGGAGATCGCCTCATAGCTATTGGAGGTTGGTGCCAGTGATGTATTAGTTTATTATTAACTGTATTAACTAATTGACATGTAATAGGTTTTACTGATTTGTGATATATACTATATGCCCAAAAGTAGCCAGACTCCCATTCTAATGAATGAATTCAGCTACTGCTGATAGTGGTGTCAACACAGTTTGTATAATCGCTATAGAAAAGCATTGACCAGTTGAATGGGATGTTCTGGAGCAGCTGCATGTGAGGTCACCATGCCCACCATGTTTGATAAGCAGACATCTGCAAATTTCTGGGCATATAGTGTATTTCTCAGTTAGAATATTAAGCACTTGTACATCGAAGGAAAAAGAGCCCTTTGGTTTGAGCTACCATTGATGGGGCAGGAGTTTTGCTCCATGGAAAACCAAGTCCATATCACTGCAATACATTTGTTATACATTGGTGCTCCCAAATTTAACTGTTTATTTCAGTGCTAGTAGTATGATATATATTTTTTCATAAGGAGCACAAAATACATTTTTAAACTGAAATTTAATTTTCCTTTCATTTACGTAGGAGTCAAAGTAACGTCCTCTGTCCAAGTGCCGAAGCTCTTAAAGCAAGCTGGAGATCGCGTGATTGTCTTGTACGAGAGGCCAGTCAGACACCAGGTGCCTGCCATGGGCTTGGGGTCTCTTCAGGAGACCTTGCCCCCCCTAGAGGAGCCTGGATACCCCACTGCTGGGGGTTACGAGGAGGACCCAGCCCACATTACCACCATGGACATAACTGATGGCAAAGACAATGACTCAGAGTTTGAGGAACTGATAGTGGAGGCCAAACCAGCTGGAGCTCCAGTCAGTGCAGAGGCTAAAGAGGATTCCCTACTCTATGTAAACCAAAGCCCTAAAAAGACTGTAGCCAACTTGGCCTCCAAGCCCCTGGGCACCATCTCGCCAATCCTCAACCGTAAACTCAACCTGTCCGGCCTTCAATCCCCACTCAAACCCCAACCTAAAGAATCACCAAAGCCCTCACCTCACAAGAGTGTGGAACCATCTGAACCACCCCAGAGACCAACAGTGCCCCCTCCTCCTCCACCTGTTCGTCCCCCTGTTCCTCCAAGGCCCCATATAAAAGTGACATCAGCTTCTTCTGAATCCCAGAATTCATTGGAAGGCAGTGATTCAGCAGTGGAGAAATCCCCAGAAAAAATTCCTCCTACTGCAGGCAATGGAGACAAATCTGCATCTGAGAAAACGCCTCTAAAGGTTCCTGAGCCAAAGCCTGTAAACAAGCCTCCAGAGTCTACAGACGAACCCCTGCCAGCCCCTATCACCAGTAAGCAAGATCCAGCCAAAGACAAGATAGTTGAAAGCTCATCTGTCACGAAAGACAGTCTGGATGAGCAGGGTCTCTGGGAGTCTTCTGAAATAATGTTCCGCAACAGATATGCTCGCTGGAGCAAGTCCTCTGTAGTGTTTGATGTGGAAAGCAACCATAAATACCTTAATGTAGCACTCTGGTGCAAGGATCCCTTTAAGTTAGGTAGTCTCCTCTGCTTAGGACATGTTAGCTTGCATTTGGAGCATATAGCCCTTGAATGCTTGTCTATATCATCTGCGGAATACCAGAGCACCTTTCGCCTGTGTGCTCCAGAACCCCGGGCCAGTGTCAGCCGTACTGCACTGCGCAGTCTGAGCACGCACAAGGGCTTCAATGAGAAGTTATGCTATGGAGATGTCACCCTCAACTTCATCTACCTGGGAGAGGGTGAAATGGACCTGCCTAGTGGACTTAGCGAGCGGGAGGGGAGCATACAGGATGAGGAAGTAAAGGAACGGGAAAGAGAAAAGGAGCAGGTACCCACAGTAACCCGGGATGACATAGGCTACAACTCCATGCAGGGCAGTGAGGTTCGGCACAACTTCCAGGACACACAATTCCAGAATCCCACCTGGTGTGACTACTGCAAGAAGAAAGTGTGGACCAAGGCTGCATCGCAGTGCATTGTCTGTGCCTACGTCTGCCACAAGAAGTGCCAGGACAAGTGTCTTGCTGAGCATCCTTTCTGTTTGGCGATTGGTGACCGTCGCAGCACAGACCCTGAGTCCAAGTCCACCATCAACCGGGCGACCACTGGTCTTACGCGCCACATCATCAACACTAGCTCCCGCCTGCTCAATCTCAGGCAAGTACCCAAAGCCAGACTTGCAGAACAAGTGGCAGAGGTTGGACCTGGAGCTGCAGAACCCTCTCCAAAACACACGCCCAACACCTCAGACAATGAGAGCAGTGACACAGAGACATATGCTGGGGCAAGTCCTTCGAAACAACCACCAGGCGGTGGTGGCACAAAACTGGCACGCAAGGAGGGAGGCTTAGATGACAGCGTGTTTATTGCAGTGAAGGAGATCGGCCGGGACCTGTACCGTGGGCTGCCGACAGACGAGCGTTCGCAGAAACTGGAGCTGATGCTAGATAAACTCCAGCAGGAGATCGACCAAGAGCTAGAGCACAACAACTCCTTGATTTCTGAAGAGAGGGAAGCGACCGATGCACGGCGCAAGGCCCTTATCACCGCCGCTCTGGCAAAGTCTGGTGAACGGCTTCAGGCTTTGACCCTACTAATGATACACTACCGTGCCGGCATTGAGGACCTGGAGTCCGTTGAGAGCACCTCGCCATCTGAGCAGCATGGCTTCCCTAAATCGAAAGCAGGAGGTCTGGAGGAGGACCTGATGGGTGCAGAAGTGTATGACAGTGACATTTGTAGTCCGGTGGATGTGCAGATGCTAGATGAGATTAGCGAGGAGCAGATCTGTGTGGAGGCATTGCCACGTTAGATGACAAAAGGGCAACAGGGGCTTGAGACTCACAGCAAAGCATTTAATCACAGAATTGCTAGAACTGTCTGAAACTGGCCAGCACTGGTATTGTGTACAAGTTCCAGAATTCCCAGAATATGTCTCATTTTGGGGATTCTTTTTCCTGTCATTGCTGGTACCAACCTTTCTCCTAATCCAAGCAGTACAAATGTATCAGTACAAAGTTTCAAAAGTCAAACAAGAACAGGAACTCTGGACAGTATTAGGATGATAATAGGACGAATCTGTATTGTTCTTGTTTTGGATTGTCTTAGGAACTAGTAGAGATAGGTCAGACCATCTTGCCTAGGCTGAAAGGGGCAGTAGCATTTTGCGTGTTAATCTATCACAACAGGCTTTGCAAAGGGAGAGCCCAGTTGTAGCATCTGTCCACTGTCGCTGTCGGTAGAAGTCGGATCACTTTTGCTGGACACATTTCGGGAAACGTCCGAGACGATCTGTCTACTTTGTTGTGAGCTTCAAGCCTTTTTGCCTTAGACATTCTGCTGCCAACCAGTAGGAGTAGTGTTAACTACGAAAACCTAAACCGTAAAACGTGATCCAGAATGTGGAGCCTTTCTTCTTTTCCCAAGTCACATTTTTATTCCCCATCCATGTCCTCCGCATGTGAGCACTTTTTAATCATTGTAGATTTTCTTGTTTTGACTCATTCTGAACGCTTGAGTCGTTTATTTATGTGTTGCTTCCTTTTAAAATGTCTCAATATGTTGAATTGCAAGGGAATAATCATGGGACGAATAGTCATCGGGTTATGACACTTTTTGGGGACCACCGTTTGGTTTGTTCAATATTGCTCAAGTTTAACTGCAATGCCAAACAAATGTGACAAAATGTTTTTTTTGTGTGTGTGTGTGTGTGTGTCACCATTGTTTTTATTTTTATTTTGCTGGAGGGATATTCCTATTATGTAAGTAAGTGTATATTATGGTTATGGGATACCTGCCTCTTCAGTGTCCCCTCTTGTTAATTTGAGTCTTCATGGATTTAAACATGATGGCAAGCTTTCCCGGATACTTGAGATTGAAGTTCCTTGAATCCTTAACCTACTAAATTATGCAATTTGGCATTTGCCATTTCGGTTTATTTGATCAACTGGTTGCTTTTACATGGGTATTATGTTAGAGATTTAATTTTTTAATGACTTTTCTTTCTGAGGATGTTTGTATTTTATTTTTATTCATTTGGTGAGCATTAATATAATATGTTTAGCACCCATGTTTTGCTTCTCTTTGCCTTTCAAAGCCAATTTCATAATATACTAATGAATGTACTTCCCAAACAACTCAACTTAATGCTATCAGTGCAGAGAATCTTTGGAGTTCACATAAACTTTGCTCTACAGCTCAATGATGTCATACGAACCAAGTAGTCAGAACACACTGAATGTCCCTTGGCCCCAAAAGCCTAAAGCTGTAGTGTTCACAGCTAATTATTAGCTTTCTCCCATAGGCTGAAATTGTATTTAGCAAACCCTAGCACTGAGCCAAGCAGTGTCCTACTGTAAAAACAGTGCAGTGAGTACATGTATGGTATGCTAGAATGGGGGGACACTTTCATATACAATCCAAACATGCGTGAAATACCAGCTGCATAGTGTCCGTGATATGTAACAATACATCAGAAAGGTTTTCAGATTGCTTAATTACTCATGTTTGACTATCGGGGCACCAGTTGAGGAAGCACACAAGGATATGAAATGCTGTATTTCAAAATTTCTGCATAATTCAATTGCTGAGATATAAACAGTCATTCAGAGTGGTTTGTTGTGATGATTCATTGTAGAGGCTGTGGTGGTGATAGGAACCAAGGGTTGCTGTGTGTACAACACAAATATAGCCATTTTATTTACCATGCAAGACCACCAGTGAACCTATACGTGTCTTCTGAGCTTTTATATGGAATGATAAAGATGGTAGAATAGTGGCACACTTTAAAGAAATCTGAAAAAGTAGCTTTCTTGGGGTCTATTTTGGCTTACAGTGCCCTTCACCATGGAGTTTAAAAATTTAGGCCTTCTCAAAACTATTGTAAAACATGGTCTGGTTCCTATCACCACCACTGTGAACAATTGTGACTCCAGGTTTCCCTAGAACAGAGCATTTCACACCAAACCACTCTGAACAACTTTGTTTACATCTTATCCATTAAATTGTGCGTAAATTTTAGAGCCGGGCCTTCTGTAATATAGAGGAGCCTCTTTACTGCTGTAGGACCACCTATTTCTGCATTTGTGCAATATTTTCATAGGGAAATCACAGTCCCGGTGAAGCCAGGAGGGAACATTATGGTCCGTTCTTTATCTCTCTGTCTTTAAGAAATGGTCGGTCCAGACGCTAAGGTGCCCTGTTGTTTAGCCCTGGGCTAAGGCATCAGTGGACGACTCTCTGGAAAGCTTTTTTTGAGTTTTTTCTTGTTCTTGTTTCTCGTAGCTGCTGCTGCTGCTGTAACTGTAACCCTGTGCTCCTTAAACACAACAGAACCTCTCTCTCTTTCTCTCAAGTTCTCTTTCCTGTCGTCTCACAGTGATAAACAAAACGTGTCTGCCTCGGCTAGTTTTTGTGGTGAAACCTTTCTGCAAGAGCCGTCGTTCTCATCGGAAGCTGAGTCATGTTTCTTAAGCTGCATTTAGACAGCCGGCTCTAATCAGATTGCTTCTTCTTGCCTGTTCCTTAAACCTGATTTGAGCGTGTGGTCAAGCTTCCGGACGCTTCCGGCTGGAAAAAAAAATATGAGGCTAGTTTAAAAAAAAAACAAACAGCAGGTTTAATGTGTTTGGACTCTCTGAGGACCGAGGGGAAACTGATTTTAGCTAACTGTCTAAATGTAGCTTTAGCGCTATTGTAAATAGCCTGAACAGAGATGGTTGCTGCAAACTCACACCCAACAGTGCTCAGTATGTTGGTTTATTTTCGTTGTTGTTATTGTTGTTGTCGTCTTTGCTTCATGTAAATATTTCTGTTTGTGTTTTAAACATGGTTAAGGACAGCTGCTGAAGTACTGCACAGCTTTGTAACATGCTGCAGGAACTTTACACACTGACATATCATATTTGCTTATGCACTTGAGATACAAAATAAATTATTAAAATAATTATTAAAATGTTTTGCTGCTTGTTTTTTTTTCTGTCCTACTTTGAATTGTGTCCTATTTAATGCAGCAGTTTGTTATTTCTAGTCTCATCAGTTTGACTAAATTCACCCTTTGATATTATTTTCTTTTTGTTCATCAGTGTTATTCATCATGCATCACATCATGCAAGTACATCATAGAGCCATCGGGAATCCCTGTGGTGTCAACCAATCCTGACTATTAGCTTAGCCAATGAGCTATAAGCTAACAACCCTGCTGAAAAGTTTAGTCCAGCTGGTTTAAGCTGGTCTAGCGCTGGTCTGGTGCTGGTTTAGCTTGTCACCCAGTATGGTCACACTGGTTAACCAGCATAACAGCATCCAAAACACAACATATGCTGGTTTTGCTGGTGAACAGCTATGCTGGTTTGCTGGGGTTTTTTTCTAGCAGGGAAATACAACCAAACTAGCATTAGTTTACCTCAGCTATCAAGTAATTTCATAAAGAAAACAGTGATTCTGTCTTTATTCAGCACAAAATGAATGCCAAAGATGAGTTTTACCCTTTTGAAGAGAAGAGGAATGATGAAGCTAAACTAAGGTAAGATATCTAGTTAGCTATCTTGCTAACTTTGGCTTTTTGACAACATTTAGCTGATTTCATGAGTTACCACAGATTTACTACTGCAATAAGATTTTTTTGTCCTTTTGTGCATCATTTTGTTTCTATTATGAAGGAATACTTTGACCAAAACTGGTAGCTAGCAATGAATTAAAGTTATTAGCCAGCAGTTAGCATAACAGTGCAGTCTAGTGAATGTCTTCTATGCTAATTAGCTAAAAGCTTACATGTATTGCTAGTCATGGTGCTGGTTTTGCTAAACAATTGTTCAACACCTTTTAAATTAAAATTCTTTAATATTTGGATTGTATTTAACACCAGTTAATCCATTGTGAATTCCTTCCATGACTGTTAATTAACCGCAAATTTTCATGTATTTCTAGCCGTGCAGCCAGTATTGGTGAAACATTAACGTTTAACTTGAAACTATGATTGATTAGTTTATTCTATACATGAAACTTTTACCCCTTTATTTAATGTTAGCCTGTTCATCAAAAATGTTATGTTTGTTTATAGGCTACTGAGCACACGGCAAGATCAGGTGTGAAAATCATTCTGAATTTGCTAAATCCAAAATCTGAGTTTAGTCATTGATGAATGATTGAGTGTTCATTGAAGGTTCAGGAAAGCCCAGCACATTACTGATGATGTGAGCAGATGGATCCCAGTGAAACCGTGGCGCTCTAACTGAGATTGGCACTTTGATCAATAATCGGAAACGCTGGTCTCCAGCCTCGGGCCTGTTTACTAAAGGAAAACTCGATGTGTATTTTAAAATCAATAGAACCAATTAGCGCATTAATGAATCGTGTTGTAGATATTGGACATCTTAATGTGTCCAAAGGACATCTGAGGTAAACAAGCTTAGGATCAATCTGAAATGGCTTTGTTCTTAACACCGTGCTCTAGATAGGATAGTGGTCCACAAATATGTGCATGAGGGCATTTTGATGTTCTCAACATATGCTTGTCATGCCTGCGGCATCTGACCTAAACTTGTTTTATTGAGCTTTTATTGTCTTGGCCATGTTGTCGGTCAATTGCAAGTTCGATACCTTGTAAGTCCAATAGAGCGTAATTGGCCTCACTCTCTAGCCAACATGGCCGCCTGTTATGGGTGATGTAACAGTTAGCAGTTAGTGTTCTCCTCCAAACGTGTTGAGCTGCACAATGACGTTGTGTTAGCAGCCAGATGTAGTGGTAAGTACTAGCTCACTCGCCCACCTTGGCAGTATTAAGTATTAAGGTGATGATAGGTAGCTAGTGGAATAGGGCACAACTAAATTAGGGGGAAAATTTAGAAAAAAACAGCAAGAAACTAAGCTTTTTTTTCTTGATTTACATTTTTAACCAAAATGAATATTTACTTAATGTCAAATAAAAGAATGGACTCAAAAATTGGATTGGACCTGCCACGACAAGGTAACAAGGTCACACCTCTTTATATAGCTACGGTGTCCTTAAGGGCCGGAAGGCTGAGGTTAGCTTTAGCATTAGCTAAAACAGTTGCTAATTTAGCATACTAAGTTATAAGCATTAACTGATATTTATAGCTGAAGTAAAAAAAAAGCCACTGTGCTACAGGCTAATAAAAACAACCCAGTTAGCGTTATAGTGTTACTTTTACCTCAGCCGTCAAACTTAATCATACTGAAAACCATCATTTTATCTTTATTCAACACAAAATTTGCACCATTTTGTTTTTAAGCTCTTAGCCAGAAAAAAATGAGCCAAACAAGTAAGATATCCAGACAGCCAAGTAGCTTTTTCTGCTAATAACTTTAGCTTTTAGCTTCTTGTCCTCATCGACTGGGTCATTTGGGTAATACATTCTCTCTGTTGTAATGATTTTAGGACAGTTACCACAGTTTTGCAGCTACAATAAGATACTGGGCTTCCTAGCAATGATGTTGTGCTACGGAACCCACCTTCAAGCTACATCACCAGAAGGGAGTTGTTCTAGTCTTTAAACCCCAAGGGAAGCTCACACTAGAGACTAACTGCAGGTGCTGTAGGAGGTGAGCAGGCATGTTTACCACAGATTTTTGTTGTGTTGTCGTGTCCCTTTAAGGGTAGGATGCGAGTCTGTGCACCATCATAGAAAAAAGACAAACAAATGCACAAAACAGGAGCCAATTTAATACTTTATTCAACATTTATTTATTCACTTTTTATTTATTTATTTTTTCGGACATTTGTCCCACCAACTACTTACATGGACCTCATAGTGTTACAGACTTACAGTTTGAATCCTGACTACAGGACCATCTACAGGATATAAAACCATCCTCACTGCGTGGAGGGTAGAGTTAACATACGCACAAACAGAAGACTTACATGTATGAAGGCACACACCAACATTGGCACATACACACACGCGGTCGAACCCGCGAGACAGACCTCAGAGATACAAAACAAAAATAAAGAACACAATAATCCGTATTAGTTTGAACTGCCGGGAAACTGTACGATGATCATCGTGAATAGAGCAAACCTCTACGCCTTCAACCAAATGCTGGCTTGATGCCACTTTCTATTGGGTATGAACCTGTTCAACAACTACACACGTAAAAAAACATGGTTCTTCAAGGGTTCTAGCTCTATTTAGAACCATTTCGTGCTTATATGTTTTTTACATGGTGAAACTGTTCTTCCATTTGATGGAGAATGTGCCTTTATAGCACCAAAAATGGTTCTGTTATTGTTACAATTTCAAGCTTGTTACAATAGCAGAACCCTTTTTGGTGCCCTATAGAACCATATACAACCATTCTCCATCCACCCAAAGAACTATTTTACCAAAAATGGTTCTGTTATTGTTACAATGTCAAGCTTGTCACCACAGCAGAACCCTTTTGTGTGCCATATAGAACCATATACAACCATTCTCCATCACCCCGAAGAACTATTTTACCAAAAATGGTTATGTTATTGTTACAATGACCATGCAAAAAGCATTTGAGCATGAAATGGTTCTATATAGAACTCATAGATCTAAATAGAAGTGTTGCCTTTGCTAAAGAACCCTGGAAGAACCATCTTTTTAAGTGTGTAGCCTTACATTGTAAAAGCTGTACATTTTTTACAAGATATCTTGACAAACAGCAGATGAAAGACTGTCATGGCTCACAAATTCCCATGTACTGTAATTGGAAATGGCCACTAGCATACCTGCCATACGCTTGGCTGTATCTGAGGCTCAATGCTAATGTTGCTAATAAATGGTGGAATTTATAGCCTAACAAAGACATTATAAAGGAAACAGTTCACTCGTTGACAAATGAACGGGAATGCTCGTAACATTCAACATGGCATCTGTTTATGGGGAAAGTCCCCCCCTTCTATACAAAAAGACAACTCTCCAAAAGACAAGAGCATGGTCTTGTGTGGGACACTGGCGAGGTGGCCAGCAAGTGGATTGACTTTCTACAAGTACTTTGAGGAGGCGCAGTATGCTAGTGAGAATGTGCTAAATTTGATAGCCACTTGGGTGTCACTGGGAGAGGAACCCGTTTAACTTCTCAGAGGAAAAGATTATGTAATGAATGAAGGGTTGCTGAAGGAACTCGTCAAATGTGCTTTTGAGTCTTTAGCATGTGCATAAGTTCCCAGCACCCTCATAAATGGCACCTACTGATGTTTGACCCTAATGTGTGCCAACTAACCCCTCTATTGACAAGGCCACTATGAGCAGAGTGGAGACTTTCAAGGAAATGTACACTGCTGACAAGATACCACTAGAATGAATGGGCCAAGGCTGATATATGGTGTGGACAGGGAGGTGGCTAATCTCGATCAATACTCAGACCGTGAGGTTCTTTATATGGACAGGAGGCCCTCAGGAAAACACCATGGATCAGCTGAACAATAGACTCCTGCCTATATGATCGTTATCTAGAGTCATTTTCCCACCATGCAGTGAAATGCAGTACAACACTGTTACAAACTCGTGATCACGCATTTTGTTGGCATGACCCGTACCTTACCTGAGTACCCGCACTGAATCTGTGGTCTGCACACTTTTGGTTTTGTGTACCGGTGTGCGGGTTTATGCACTGTCTGGCAGGTGTCTGAGTACTGGACTAAGTATGTATCTCAAAGTTCAGTACATTAGTGACATTCTAGCATGCTGTTTTGGAAATACCAGGAAGGAACATTTAACATTATGAGAATGTGTGAAAATCTCTGCT